GAAACCTATTTCTACTTAATTGATATTAAAATCCTAACTTTTTATTAATTGGAATAACTGCAATATGTTTGGTTGACCGATGTAATTTGTAATCTGCTTTGAAAAATCTACAATAAATTTTTTGAACAGGAATAATACTTTCAACAGAACGTTTGTAAAAGCTATTTTCCCACAATTCAGCACAAAACATGCCAGCATGAGCACATCCATCTTCATCAAATTGAAAGCAATCAGTTTCACGATTATATATATGAAAATGATCACAATAATTAGATGTTTTATACCAATCAACAAAAGCAAATGAATGCTCTATAGTTTCAAAATCTATTTAATCTCTAGAATTCTCATTAGTAATTTCTTACGAAACTTGTACTTGATGTTTAAAACAATACAATACTTTTCCAGGCCAGTGATATAATTTATATTCATTACCAGCTCTGGTCTTTTTTCATTAATAAAAGCTGCAACTATATATAAATTCGAATCTGATCGTAAAGAAATAAAGCCAAACTTTTCATCTCCAATATAAATTGCTCCAGATCGCTCAATTGTAAATGTTACAAAAATAGAATTAGGATCTGAAATATAATCACAAGATGCAATAAAGTCAATGTTTGTCATTTGTTGGTATAAATTTTGTTGTAAACTGTGCAAGATGTTGATTTGTAATATCATCCAAATGTAAAAAATGTATAGGTTTAAGAAACTTTCTAGAAAATAATTCAGCTCCAGTAATATTTTGTTCTGATATTTTGGTTGACATATTATAAAGATTTAGAATATCTTGTACAGGTATTAAATATTTAGCTAATGTACCTCCTAAAGAAATAGAATCATAAAATACTTTAAATATATTATTAATTGAATCTAAAAAATTTTTTAATAAAGTTGATGCAACTAGATTAATTGTAATTTCTTCATAAATAGTAGCCATAATTTCCATAGCAATATCTCTATTTGGGTTCTACTCTAAAATTCTAAAAAACAGATTCTCAAAAAAAACATGATATTAACAAAGTTAGCTAGTATTAGTTATAATGCTAGCCAATTTAGTTAGTATTATGTCCTTTCAGGAAAATGGCTTTCAGGATTTCAGAGTAGAACCCTCTATTTGAAGTTGGAACTTTTGATAATTTATCATTTATTTGCTCATATGCAAAACACCAAATTCTATATACTGGTCCATAATCTAAGAGACATTCTTTTATATGATATGCATATGCATATTGAGTGTAATAAACTCTGCTTCAAAAATTTTTTCTATAGCAATACAAAATTGATAAATAAATTTATATACTTTTTCAATTTCTGATATACTAATTACTCTCTGTGACCATAAAGCATTAGCACATACAAAATCTTGCCAGTATTTTCAATGATTCTCAGATAACAAATCACAAATAACAAAAGTTGAATAAACCAATATCCAATTTTTTCTATTGGTTAGCATAAATGATAAAAAACCAGCTGCAATTTTATAAGGAATTTGACCTATATCATATGGAGGCAGATTGCAATTAATAATATTTTGTATAATTTCTAAATCTTTTTAAAAATTAAAGGCTTATTATTATTTTTAATATTTATATTAGTCCAAAGCTTTGTAATATGTTGTGCAGTTCCTAGATACAAATTATGCATAGGATCAATTACTGTAAAACGAATAAGATCAATATAGGAAAGATGTTGTAATGGAGTCCATTAAATTTCATATTTGTCAAATATTTGCTTTTTTTCTCTATTATTTGCATTTAACCAATTATTAAATAATTGTTTATGCTCAACATTATTTAAATGAGAAAATTCTTGATTAAATTCAGAAAAATTTACTTTTCCACTTGGAAGTATTAAAAACTTTTTAATACATCAATAGTATCCATTTTTAGAAAAGTGTTCTGCAAATTCTGATATTTTTTGAGCTGCTAGTGTATTACATGCAATTAATATTAAAGCACCACGAAAAAGTTGACCATATTTTGAAGATTAATTATTACTCCACTCCATAACTTATCTAATTCATATACAATTAGCTCAGTAATTGAAGGTTTATGAGGTTCTGGAATTAGACCAACTAAAAAACATTTTGGTTTGATATTGAAGATGTCTTGAAAAATTTAAAATTTTTAAATAAATAGCTCTAACTGATATTGGTGAATGCTTATAAGGATTAAACCAGTTAATGTTAAGTGAAAATCCTAATCTACTTTTTACTAAATTATCAACAAAAAAAGCTGTCCCATCATTATCTTTAAATATTCACCAAACATGACCATTATATATATCAGAAAGTAAATGATTTGGTGGTAATTAATATTTATAACAAGATTCTAATACCTCTTCTATTTCTGGAAGCAAAAGAATTTTTTTAAGATATAAAATAATTGAATAGTAAGGATATGTTTTAATAGCTTTATATAATATTTTTTCTTTAGATATACAAACAGGCTTTTTGAGTTTGGCTTCACAAATACAATTTGATTGACAAATTTCACTTAAATATTCTTGTGTCCAAAAAAGCTTAGGATACTTTGGACATACATAAAATTTTATAAAATTTTTATCTAGTCCAAAAAGCTTTGAAACATGATAATTAGATTTAGGAAAAGTTGCAAAGTAATCTGAATTAATATGATTTAATATTGAATATAAAAAGCTAAAAAGAATTTCTGTTGATGCTTTAGCAAGAGCTATTGTACACTTAAAAAGTAAAACCCATAGTAAGTAATAAATATGAAATATCATTAGGATCTGATTCAACATGAATAGAAAAGTTTGTAATCAATAAATTAGATTCATATTCAGAATCTACTTCATATTTAATACTATCATTATTTTCTATTTCATCTTGATCTTCATAATTATCTGAATCTAAATAAATATCATATAAATCAAATTATGTTTCATGCTTACTATCCTCATCTGATTCAATAATCATATCATTAGCTAAACCAAATTCTGTAAGATTTTCAATTTTATTTTTTTTTTTGGCAATTTGATCCTTCTGCATAATTATTAGTATTTAAACTTTGGTTTCATAAATTCTAATTCAAATACAAAATCAGATTCAAATGTTTCTATATTTTCAGATAAATCCGATAATGCTTTTGTATTTTTTAATACTATAGATAGTTCTGATTGATAAGCTTCAGAAGAAAGTTCACTATTTGTATTAGTAATATTTTCTTGAATTGGTGATATAGGTATAGGATCATCAGATATATATAAATAAAATAATTATTCCAAATTCTTCAATCAACTTTTTTTTTATTACACTCTGGGCATAAACAAATATATGCCATTTAAGTAATGTTAATTTGTAAAAAGAAATTTTATTAATTACTAAATGAGCAAGATTTTTATAAAAAAATATTTAGCTTGTATTAAGAAAATAGAATTTAAGATATTTTGTATTGTGATTATAAGATAGAGGTATTTTATTTAAATTTTATTAGTTTACTATCTTGATAATTCAAATAACTAAGTCTGTTATAATTAGGCTCAATTTATGATATAATTATGATAATAAAATATAATTTAATATTATTAATTTTATATAAATACTATTAAGAAAAATAAAACTTCAGGCTTTTAATTCTAAGAATTAAAA